CAAAGTTAATAAGCGAGTAAACTTTCTCTTTGCCACCCTTTGAGGTTTCATGCGTATTAATCATAAGGTAAACAAGACAGAATGTGTAAAATTATTTTGTACATTGCTTAAATGAAGACATATTATCTGTCTAAAAACGCGTTAATTCTAAAATTAATACCGTGGAACGCACGGCGTGGTGGATTAATTTTTTCATCACAGAACCGTCGATATGGGTATCATATAAAAGGACTTGAGGAGTGGAATGCAAAAAGCTAATTATATTAATTCTACATTAATTATAGGGGACGACGTCACAAGGTGATGGATTGAAAATTTAAAATATCTTGTAGAGAAGTAAGAAATGGAAGAGAGATAAATTTTATCCCATTTACCTTTTTTTTAATAACCATACCCATAACCAAAAAACATGGGGCGCTAAATATTTTAATGGTGGCACGCGAGAGTCGGCCTGGCCGAATATTTCTCTTTCTTACTCGTTAAAGTTTTAAATGTAAAATCTACATTCAAGACGATCAAGCATGAAAGAAAATTAGAAAAACTTCATTGCAGCTAAATAGTGTCTGAAAAACGAAAAAGATTTCTTAACACATCTTTCCCACTAAGAAACAATCATTTAAAAGGTTATGAGACTTGTAATCTATTAGGACTTAAATGATTTCTTAAATACTGATGAATTGCGGTAAATGAGATTTAAAACGGGACAAGGAATTTTGAATGGTCCTTATAGAAATTTCAGTGCACTGGATAACTTGACTGGAATTGGGAGTAGTAAAAACATTTAATTAAAAATCTACCAATGACGTAGTGATTGCAGATTAGAGGTAAAAGGAGAATCTCTTTAAAATTTCAACTTGAGACTTTATACGCGCCTTTGTCGAAACCAAGTCTTTCGAATTCATCATAGAGCAGTCAACTCCATTCAACTTCATCCAATGGGGTTGAAATTTTAATTGCATGTCCGAGGTGACCATCGTAGGTTTGTGGCCCATTAAAATTTAAAAAAACAAAAATTGAATTAATTTAAAAAAACTTAAGAACAATTTGTTTTTTTACTTGAAGATTTGCGCTTTTACGTGTAATATAAGATCGCTATGCGTTTAGAGAAATTATTAGGAATATAAGTAAGTTTCCGCTTTCCGTTTTGTTGAAATTGTCAAATGTAAAAACTAGTAGCATAAGTTTGGTCACCTGTTACCAACATCATGTTGAAGTATTAGTGACTCGGTGCCAGCATCACATAAGTTCTTTCATGCGAAATTGGCAAGTCTTGTGCCGAACAGGCGTCATTTGTGGGAATCCCCGATTTAATGCTTTAATTTTATATCTTAACTTTAGTAAACGTAAGAACATAATATTACTATTATGCCTACAAAAAAAAAAAAAAACAAATGCTTGACAGCATAGAAATATTGGACGGTTTTTTGAAAATATATGAAAGCATAACAATGTTTTTTTTTTTTTCGTTTTCGCATAATTAAAAAATTCCTTCTTGCTTTTATACTTATTTAAATAACTATTTGCGAACGCAGTAACAGTTTTCAGCTTTTTGAAACCAACTATTTGACGAATCGATTTGGAATAAATGGTTTGCTCATATGAACGGCATATATTTTTTCTGTTAATAACATTATTATTTTTTTACTAAGGTAAGCTAATTTAAGCCAAGTTAGTGAATGACTTCGTATTCTTAGTTGACGATTGTATATCAAGTTTGAACTTAGGCGTAGCGCGCACCTGGCTGCCAGTATTGAGCTTAAATTTAATACAAATATAATCTTTTCCAGAACAATCCATGCCGAACAAATTGACATAACGAAATGAGAAAGTTCTTAATAATTCTTATATATATACGACGGTACTTATTGAAGAATCGCTTTGATGTTTCCGACTTGTTTCATTAACTGCATGACGTTTTTGGGTCCATAAGAAAGTCTTAAAAGTTTATGGAATCATTGTCAACAATTTTGTTTTTTTTTTTTTTTCTTTTTTAAGAAGACGTTTTACCGAGAAAATAATGCTGCGAATTATTGTTCCATCCATTTTATTGGCCTTGTGATCTATATTTTCGATTTCAATATCGTGATAAGGGTGCAGCTCACAAATAAAATCGTTGGCTATGATTTCCACAAGTAATTGAACTTTTATAAATGGCCAGACGTCATTTAACAGTTTCTTAGGATTTACGGTAAGCAATAATAAGAGGTCTGAGAGGTCTAGAGAACATAAGAAAACAAGTCCGCCTCCTAAATAACTTTTTAGACCTTCACAATGAACATTTTTAGAACTCTTCATATTTATCGACGAAAGTTGTTATTAATTTCCACATATATTAAAGCGATAATACATTCGGTGTTCGTAGCGGTACCGACAATGAGTATGAGCATAAAATATATGGTAAAATCCACTTATGTCAATTGATTGGTTGGTATATTTTGTGAACAATTTTCTGCTACAGTAATTGTGCTCGTTAATGCATATTGGCTGACATATAAATTATTGTTCGCGTATAAGGTAATTGAAAAAAAATTGATAAACCTCGTCTGGCGGCGATTACGTTAAACAAATATATAAAAATCGTAAAACTCTTTTTTTTATCTATATACCGATTAAAATTATCTTTGCAATGATCTATCGATCATTGATAATTGCGTGCCAAAATTGACGTTAATATCAGGCATTAGAACGAAATATTGAAATTCTCGTCTGTTTTTAGGTCTGTTTTACGGTTTTTGTTTCATTATTCCCAACTTAAAAAAACATATACATTGCGTTTCGCCTTTCTATTTTGCGTACTGTTCCTAATGATCGCAACTTAAACAATAAAAAAAGGGTGGATGTGCTGATGACGATCCTATGCTGCGGATAATTGAGTCAACAGACAGATAGATAAGCGAATGGACATAAAATAGTTGAATTAATTGGAAATCTAACAATTATCAGAAAGATTTATACGACGCCGAATCTGTCATCTACTAAAGGTTATTATAAACGGACTCGTCAAAACACTAATGTACCGCGATGTCTTTGCACTTCCTCCATTCCTTCATGAATTGATGTAATAAGGAGCAGAGTTATATTCACTTATGAGATAGATATCCATCATGGAGAGTCACCATATCCAACTAATGTTTTAAATTTGCAAGATAGTTAGTCAACAATGGATGTGTCAGTAAGCTCATAAAAAAACCTTTTTCCATGGTCATTGCATGCCGATTACCCCATTTATTAATGTTGACTATATAAAATGGAACTTTAATGTGGGTGTTAACAGATCATGTCTGTCAGCCCACCCGATCTGTTCTCGTAAGCTTCCTATGCCGATTTTTGCAGTCGTCAGCGTTTTGACAACCACAGGCCACAGACATTTGCAAGTTGAGTCACAGCTTTACGCTAACAAGCAGTGGTTGTTTTACAAGATCTATACCATTACAAAATTTAATCCTATTAGATCTCTGAAGAAGATAACGCCATTCCTCAATGGTAGGTGAAAAAAATCGAAATTAATGAACATGTGCCACAGAGTAGGTAGGTAGCCTACCTACTACCTCCCAAGGTAGAGTTGTCCTGATAAAATCAAACTTTTAGCGTTTATATAACCGTCCTCTTGTGGTCTTGCTCACTCAAATATTGAAATACTAATTACCGAGACATCTTCTAATTAAGTGCCACGTTTGACCAAAAACATCTCGCCTGTCTTGGTTTGGACTGATTGCGTAAGAAAATTTCTAATTAGTCTCTTATATAGTAGGAGGAACGGAAATGAACGAAATGAAAGGTGTTCGGCAAGTTATTCTTAGTTGCCTCGTTATATCTAATTAATTGTTTTTGTAACGCATAACGTATAACGCATAATGTTATGCACTTCGGGTCTTTACGTGAACTTCAAACGGTCGCATAGACAAGCTAGCTTCATTCAATTCCTTGAAAAGAAAGACTTACTAAAGTGAAAGACGAGAGGACCGTATGAGGGATAATTCTTTCATTTTGTCTTTACATTACTTTTTTTCTTTTTTTTCTTTTTTAGACCAAACGACGGGTTTTAAATCTATATTTTAGATAACACCTAGAGAGCACACAGCCGGCACATATCAATGAAATATATGCACCATGGCATGGTAGACTTACATTATCTGCCGCGCAGTTTACTTTTAACTACATACGGATAAATTTCTGGTCGCGTAAACATTCATGGAATGACATATGTGTGAGACAGCAAACAAAATGCGAGATACAAAGTAAAGAAAAAATATTACTGCACATCTATAACATTCTTAATGGTTTCCATGCAAATAATAAACACAATAAGCGAAACAGAGCGATTGCAATTAGACCGAATCTTGAATTCGCATCGCTTGCAAGTCAATAACTTACATGTCCTTAGTTATGAATTTCTAATAAGTCACCCTCTCTCTCGCAAGCGAGATTGTTATTAAAAGGCATGTTTCGTTATATTAGTTGGAATATGCGAGTGCAAGTAAGTGCTCATATATATATATATAGTTAAAGCGTCTTTTCAACAAACTGTGTATTAGACTTTGCATACCGTCTTGATGACGAATAAGTCTGCGTACGGTTTTGTGAGTGAATAAATAAAAATTTGTTTAATGTATAATTTTGTATTGTTTTGTTTTGTTTTTTTTTTTTTTGCTTTTGTTTGTTTTATTGTTACGGTTCGATGCCCAGCCAGAGGGGTCTTCGAAGTTGTCAAACTACATAATGTATAAATAAATGAGAGACTGTTATATTCAGCTTAAGTCGAATCTCGGATGCATGGATAATAAGTCAATTTAAGACGCGTAGCCATTCGCATATATATTTCAAAGTTTCAAGGCGGACACGGAAGCCCGAGAGCATGACCACAAAATTGTATTTGCCAAGTATGATGCTTAATTTGTGAAAAAAATGCTCTGACCACCGTAGTCAGCTAACTAAACTTAATTTGTTTATTTTCTTCTACAATTATTCCCGTAATTTATGCATATTTCGTCTCTACTTACTCTTTCTTCTTCGCGTATCATCTCTGCGATTTCTGGTTTGATTTCCATATCGTCATGATGGGAAGGAGGACCGGTGGTGATTTTTCCAGTATTATTTGTAATACCACTTGCTGATGATGCGCCAGCTGCAACCGCAGCCAATGAGACACCCAATGCGCTGGCCATAACTGCATGAGATTGAGCTGCTGTATGAAATTGATGTTGGGCGGCCAATTGTTGAGCTGCAGCGACAGCTTGATGATGAGGATGATTTGGATCAGTCAAGGCATTGCCCACGGATCCAGCAGAACGGCTGTGAGCTGAATTTTGACTCTCCGTCGGTGAAACCAAAGCTAAAATTTCTCTGCTTGTGTGGGTTGCAGCAGCTAAAGAAGGTGAGCAACTTCGTGTCATGGAGCGAAATGGTAAAGTTACTGATGATGACGAAGCATCCGATGATGCAGCAGAATGAGAAGAAGCGAGCGATGATGTTAAAAAAGCTTTCTTCGCATCGACATCTGATGCCTGATGATTTGTTTGATTTGGTGATGCAAATGGATTACGCACAATAGTTGAGGTGGTCATTGCGGTTGGTACCGACGAAGGAACATTCTTCTCAACAAAATTACCTGTTGATGATTTTGAATAATCATAAGTATCGTTATGCGAACTACTTGAAAAAAAACGATCAGTATCCATTAGTAAGCCATCTCGCGAACGTTTCCTTGTTCGATTCGGTGCAAAATTTATATCCAATTTTGAACGGATTTTTTTCGTATCATTTATTCTTGGCCGTTTCGCTTTTTGTCTGTTAATTATATCTTCTCCGTCTGCATAAGGTTCATCATTTTCAATGGGCTTTTCCTCATCGCTTTCATACACCGCCATACGCTGTTCTAAGACCATGGGATGCGCTGCTGCCGTGCCGGTAGAATTAACTTCGGCTAAGCCTCTAATTTTCAACATCTCAGCGACTTTAAGCAAAGGATTTATCTGATCTTGGCTAACGTTAATTTCTCCTTTATACATGAACTCCATTAAAGCCTTTAATTCTTGCCACCGAACATCACGCATAATCACAATTGGATGTTGGCATGGATTATCATAAAATAACCTTTGAAAATATGGAGAGCAGGCTGATAAGACTACCTTGTGGGCTTTTATCGATTGACCTTCACATGCCAATGTAACATCAACGAAAGACTCATTTTGCAACAGCTCATCGAAAACATTTGTTAGATTGTTTTGATAATTATTCCAACGCAAGCAAAATTGTTGATTGTTGCGTTTGTCAGTCTCAAAATGTTGCTTAATAGTTCTTGGCTCCTTATTGATCGCGTATGTTTCAGCTATTTTGGGAGGTTCAAAAGTTTTCCGTGAAGTAAAAGCAAATAGTGGCGTCAAACGAACATTTCCTAAATGATTGGGTGAAGCTGGTAAAGATCGAGACTTTTTAAGAGCTAACGTCGCTTCCACATTGATATCGGGATCCTCAAAAGCGCTTGTAAAACCCACAACCTCACTTGATGTCAGCGGCCTGGGCGGTGGAGTTAAATCGCAATTGGTACTCGCTTTTATTATCGATTTATCCATATTTTCTAATAATTCTGGCGTAGAAGGATTTCGAAGTTTTTCTCTTTCCCAATTTGTGGTTTTTCGCGAAAGTTCGACTCCAGCCGGTGCCACAAATTCAACATGTGCTTCGGAATTTGGTGTGATTGTTGAGTCATGATTTGTTGCACAAACTTCATCGGAAGCTTCTAAGCCTACAAGATCAGTACCTCGCGCACGTACAGTAAAATCCATTATGTTTTTCGTTAAATTCATTTTCAATTGAATATTAACTGTAAATCAATATTATGTACCGAGTTTTCAACGGTTACTCTTACTGACGTATTTCTTTCTCTGTTTCTCTATCGTGTACCGTTCGTCTCTCTAGGCCTTGAATGTTCAAATAAAAAGACCTAAAAAAAATATTATTATTATAATATTGCACGCTATCGACATATTCTTTACATAAATGCTTGCTTAGCTTTACGTATTTTATATATGAATTGTTTTGTATACAAATAATCCTGCATTCAAACAAAGGAAAGCATTTTCTATCGGGCCTTAAGGTGTAATTTAAAAAAATTTTAATTGTAATAAATATGACAGTGCCGTTTTAATTACTTGATCATTCTACCTCGCACAAAATCCCCCTTCCCCGCTCATAAAAACGGGGGATCATGGCACAAGGAAATTTTCAATATTCGATATCAAATAGATCAAATATAGAAAAACCGGTTTTTCTATATTTTGTGGTGGCGCAAAGCAAACTTTTACTACCGATATTATACAATGTCGGATAGTGCAAGTTAATAAGACTCTTCCTATTTATCAGTGCAGCTTCAATAATACCGGTTCATATTTGAGATTATTAAGATACGTAGAAATAGAGATTCAAGTCGTTAATGAAACAGTTTTTACACAAGTTACTTATACGATAACAGCAATTAACGCATAATTATGTAATCGAGTTAAACAAGCTGATCGTAGAGTAATAGAAAGTCGTGGGTGGTAAAGTAGCTTGCATTACCGCCACTACTGATGTTTATTTTAGAAGCCCTGAAAAAATTCTTCTATTCTTCGATTAACTCTTTTTAGGCAAATTATTAAAGTGCAGCACATTTGCAGCGACTCGCGTAAATTCAATTAATTGGTATTTCTGAAATTTCTGAAACGTATTAAAAATGTTACACTGTTACCTGAAAACGTGCAAGAATCATGGCACCATTCTACATATGTTTATGCTATAAAAAAAATTATTATTTATAATTATCAGCTAAACTAGAGTGTTTTTTAAATTAATAGTTTCGTATAAAAAAAAAAATAAATAAATAAATAAATAAATTCGCTTTTGTTAGAAGAACGAAACGAACAAGCTATGCGCGATATCGCGTGATCAAATTTCGCTTACATAACTTCCCTAGACAAAGCATCACTATATTCCATGCCTACTCAAATTTATTCTTTTTCTTTTTCGCTCTTCCTCAATAGGTTGAGACGAAATTTCTCTACTCTGATATCTGATGTGCGAGTAAGTGTGATTAGTTTGCACCATCAAACCATCAAACCATTAAAATGCGTGTCTAATTCTCTCAAAGAAGAGAAAGAGAAGGACTCACTGCTAGGATATAAATTTGGAATGGAATTTGAAACAAACGCCACACCAGTGTCAGAACGAGATATATATTTGCATATAATTATTTTTAATACGACAATTGTCGCTAAAGTAAATGGAAAATAATTGGGAAATAAGTTGGAATTAAAATGACGTCGTTAATTTTGAACGTATTGGACCATTTTTGCATCGAACATACACTTGATTCACAAAAATATATTAACGGGATCGAAAATTGTAGACAAAGCATTCGAAAAGATTTTCAGTGTTTTCGGAGCTTGTTTTAGTTCTTCTGCATTTTGGGCATGGTTGCGCACATGACAGATCATGACCACCTTTTGAACTTATATTCCTAATCGGTCAAGAAATCGGCCAAATTTCATCTTCCTCTTTTCATTGTTGCGATTGTGACGATTCATAACAATTATCCGCCAATTGATGATGAATAACAACAAGAAGAGAATAGGCATGTTGCAGGAATGAAGAGTACACGTATATATTTGCTGTATTAAACCAATAAAAATTAATATATAAAACATCTAAACATATACTAATGTAGAATACTTAAGCTTGGAATCAAAAACTCGCGACGTGGATGGGTATGAAAGATTTTTATAAACAATTGGAACGAAAATCATAAAGAGGTCTTTACTCTAATATTTTGATATATATTATGTTGGATATATCGTGTTTCGCGTTCAAGACATTGAAATATGTTATAGACATATTTTTATACCCTACACTACTTGGGGGATAAAAGTATATTAAGTTTGTGCAGATGCATGCAACAATCAGAGAGATTTGCAATAGACGCACCTTGTCTTATATCGAGCAATTCATAATTGCTTTCCGAATGCAAGTTTACTAATCCATCTGATGTCTGTCCATGTGGTTTCGTATTCAACCTACAGGTCGCAATTTTTGAGATATTTTAATGAAATTCAGCACACGGACGTGTTTTAGCCCAAAGACTAAAATGCTAATCTAAAACGATTCGATTCGAGTCACTTTCTCAACCACTTGCCATGTAACGCCATGTATTGAAAAGTTGTTACACAAATAACTGTAGGATGGTGTAGGAGATTTAATGTGGAACCGTGGGCCACTATAGCGTTTTTAGTTGTTTTATATGAATTTTTACAATTAATCTGCAATCTCGGATCCATTCAAATATTCTTGATCGTTTTCTTTGCTCGAAAATTGCACCCAAGAGACTGCCGCATTCGCCGCGTTCGAAAAAAGCAGAATCGGACATTTTCCACTTCACGCGAAAATGTATGTAAAATTTCATGCTAAACTCGTAATATCTTGGCAGACGCATCAACGCCTTTCGAAACGCTCCCAGGTTTATATCGATCGTGCTAATGAAGCTACACTGACGTGCTCTGTTCGGAAATGCTTTCAAGTTACCGTAAACACTTTCTAAAGACATCTATTCATATATTAGTGCAATTTATAATCAACAGTTAAAATATTAAGCTTTAGGTAAATCCCGAAATTTGAAAGAAAAGGTTTCTTTCATGCAACAAATTCTATTCCTCGTATTCTAGAAGATTCAAAGCATCTATTAAGCCAATAAAGGGAGAGTTTTTTTTTTTTTTGATCATAAATAAACACCTACTAAACACAACTGCAACAGTGTTAGAGAAATTAGAAATCAATATATTTTCTGTATTCGGAAAGCTCGAAATTTCAAGAAAAAAAATTACGTTCAAGTAATCAACTTGTGCTTGCTTAATAAAAATCTCATATTTCCGAGAAGTCGAGGTTTTGAAATGGTATCATCCATGACATGCAGTCTCTACTATTGCAAAATTAATGCTAAATGGTTTATGAGCTATTCGAAGCGCAACTCTATAATGATGTGAGCCCTTATATTCCTTAGTGGATTACATTCAAAGAGTTTGGGACTATTGCACATATATAATATATGCTATTGAATCAATGGTGGACTTTCATTATCTGACTGATCTTAAGGCATCTTGATTTACCTAGTAGAGCCTAGTAAGATTTGAAAGAGTTGGAAATTTCAACAATTATTAATTTTTCAGAGCCAAATTAAAACCAAAATTCTCTTCATTAAAGGTAGAAAGTACTTCTATGGGCGATTCCTGCCTATTATATAAATGAAATAAAAGTGCCATATTCTAAAACATGTAACGCAGGATAAACGAATAGGTGCACTTGGCTGAACCTGTTCGGAATCTGACACCGTCCCGCAGTGTACATATGCAACCAAAGGTCTTCTTACATGGTCGGAACGCCAATGCGCCAACTTCGAATTTATATTAAGCGAAACGAGGTGTGCTTAATTAATATTTGCCTACATACTATGGGCGATATGAAAAAGAAAAAAAAAAAAAAAAAAGGACAAATAAAAAGATTGTATGTAGTAACTATAAATTCGACTAACGCCAAAAAGTGTTAAATAAAATGTTTGAATAAACTAACGGCGCCAGTTTGTAAGCAAAAGTTTTGAAATTATATTTAGAGACAGATAAACATTTATTTTAGCTGGCCGCATATGCAAACGCAATACGACTTAGTATCTCTAAGGTTGGCAATACATACTCTTGTCCATTAATGGAAACAAAAAATTATGATAAAAAATTTAAAAAATTTTTTTTTTTATACAATTTTAACAACAAAGCGAACCGAACTAAGAAATAGCAGTAAATAAGTTTGAATGGTTAGCCTGCAGTTTGTATGTCTCTGCCGGTAATCAGTTACTCTCTACGGCTATCATTTCTTAGGCGGCTTTTCTTCGGGCGGCGTGATTATCCAACACGGTTTACCGAGATATTCCTACATTATGCAATGTAGTTTCCAACCTTAATTTACCCGAGCATTTCTAGAATTTTGAAACATTAGGTTCTACACAAAAGCAAGTGAACTCCATAAAACTTTCATTTTTATGGGTCTCCGAAACTATTACGATTTGCTTCTGCAAGATCTGTTTCTAATGTATGCACAGAGAGTTCTTATTGAGCAAGTGCATTCGAATTGCACAGCTTTTTTTTACATATGGTATGCGCTGCGTCGCATTCTGCTTTAAATCTGTTGCATCATTTGTTTTTGACAGCATTATTTTGTTGTTGAAGTCTCGACATCTCTAATCACTTCGTGTTGCAAGACAGTAAGTAATAGAATTACCCATCTTTCGGTCTTTTCTTCTGTTGTGTTTCGCATTCGTCTGTATTGCTTATGTCAAGAAGGGCGACTGACCGCGGATTCGTTGACTTTATATAGGCATGCAATAATGGTCGAGCTCAGGTACGCATATACCTTTTCCCGGCTCCTTACCGTGACTTAACAACAACAACTTGCTTAATGCTAGCACTCTTTATGTATAGTTAGATCTTCCTTGATCTTTGCGCATATCATGTTGATCTTACTCTTCCCTGTTGCAAAACAATATTTTGAGTACATTATGCAATACATAGAATTTTGATAATAAGCATAGTTTCATTCATGATATTTATTAAGGATTCGTCATAAACGCTTCATGTCATCTTTTATAATAACCAAAATTGCATTTTGTAACAGTTTTAAGGAACAATAAAGACATATTTAATAAATTATAAAGGATTTTTCATTTAAGCTATATTATATGCATATTATATGCATATATATATATATATATATATATATATATGTATAAAGGCTAATTTATGTTTTTAAAATTGTTCCGTTAGTTTATTTTTAAACTTTATTTCAAACATATATTGTTTTCTTTATATTTAGTACACATGTAAATTTGTTTATATATATATATATATGTAAGTGTGTGTAAGGAAAGATATATAAAGACATATCTATGTGCATAGGTGTGCTCATTTTATTGCGTATGGAAATTTTTATATTATATGTTTAAGTGTTATCAACGCGATTTACGAAGAAGAACAGCAGCAGAAAGAAATC